CCGTTATTACATGACAATGGCAGAGAAGTTGTAGATTTCCAGTTGAACGGCTGCAGTGAGTTTCTGTTGCTACATGGGGTGAAGACACTGTCAGGCTTATTGCAGCTCTTGTACCCCATGCAGCTGTTTATCATTTTTATGTGTTTCTTGTCTTGTTATCAACTGTTACTTGACCAACAGTTTGTTTACTGCTTAAAACATGAAAATGTTTCTGTTTGATGAATCTAAATGAAAACTTCAAAAGTGAGAAAAAAAATTTGATGAGGTGTAATTGTCTGTTGAAATATCTTCAGTTTTTAGACTTATTTCTTTAAAATTTGTTTTCTTATACAGGTCTGATCATATGGTGCTTTCTTATGCTATTCTCATATAATTGCAGTCTCTTTTAATTCCTGGAAAGTTTTCAGTCATGAAGACTGTGATTGTGTAGCTGTGGGGAACGATGGTAAGGGATGACAGGTTTTAAACAAAATGTTGATAGGAAGCGTAAGCATTGTCACTTCCAGACAAAATAAGGTCCACTCTCTTCAGTCGGATTGGTCATTTGATATTTTTAGCGCAAGAAATGTATTTGATTTGTTGCCTCCATGAAGTACTTACATAGCTATCTCTGCCAAAGTTGTGTCGGGACAGATAGCTGGGAGTGTTTGATGAAAACCAATGGTAGTATTTGTTTAGCATTTTTGCTTCAGTTGGCAGCTCTATGATGTTTTCCAGCTGTGGCATTTCAGACTCGGAGCAAACACGGGCTTTTGATTTATTGTTGAAATTTTTCATTCCAAACAGTTACTGAGTCACAATGTTCAAAGTATGATGCTAGTGGACGTGTACATAAATATAATGTATTTAATACAACTGTGCGTGTAGGCGTCGGTGCACTACTGCCTTCATGAGGTGCTTAAGTTAGAGCAGGGGCCAAAAGTAATTTATGTATGTATGTACTGGACAAAGGTAACAAAAGTACTTTTCTCACAGTTTGATGTCTAGTGAAATTTTCCATGTGTATGGGCACTATTTCATGAAAACCATAATTTGACTTATTGCCATTTTCTCTTTTCTTTTGAGTCTTATCGATCATATTTGAAGTTTGGGTTAACACATTTCAGGTTAGGGTTAGCGTCCTTTAGTCTGCGACAGGAAATACTAATGGTTTCTTGTCTGAATTTGAAGTCTTCAGAATTCAGTTTTACTAAGACATTCACGAAAAATAGGAGTTAATGATGTTTGTTAAGATATCTGCAAACAGTCTCTGGGTTTATTTTCTGAGTTGTAGAGATAAATCGCTTTGGTTGTATTGATCTTTCAGGAGGTTTTTCATGAGATGTCCACTTGTTTTTTAAATTTTATTTCAGCCTTACTTTTTGTATGGCTGCAAGTTAAAATTGAAAAATCTGTGTGGGTGTGTGTGCATGTGTTTATTTATCTGTCTCAAGAGTGTTTACTATAGTCAAGACAATCAGTTTAAATAAACCGAATAAATCACTCATTTCAAGTAATGTGTGGTCACATTATCTCTGTGAAGAATCCCCAGAACATGCTGTGTACCTTACTTCACCATCAGACCCAACACTAATAACAGAAACAAAAGAGTGAAAGATTTCTGCTGAATAATGTTTATCCATGTAATGTGTATTACAACTGCTATATATTACATTGCGCAATGTGTATTGACCGATTTCCAACTTGGTGTCATGCTCTGACTGTGATGGTAGGAAACATCTGAGACATACCATGAGGTGGCCCAGCCTCTTTTTAGTGATATCTACTGGTCTGTCTGTGCATTCACATTATAATGTTGGTTTCAACCGTGGACATGTTTTGTGTGGGCTCTTGAAATCTGAGAACTTACTGGCCTCGGCCATTTATTATTTTTGTGACAATGCTGGTCATTGTTGAGTGTATTAAGATTTGGGTGGGGGAAGAGGATATAAGTGTTGTACAAGGTACAAGTGCAAGGGGTGAGCAAAAGGTCTTAACGTGGACAGGTTTTGAGAGTGAATCCAGTTGTGTCAGCTTAAAACTTTATACCTCCGACATGTTCATTCCTGCTGATGAATGTTGTCATATTTAATAACACTGAACAATGCCAAGTGTATCGAAATTGGAAGGAAGTAAGAACACAGTGAAAAAAAAGATGGTGCCATGAAATAGGAAAACAGAAGGCCAATGCAGTGAGGCCTTTGGTGATCTGGTGACAGAGCTTTTCTTTTATTGTGTCATATCTTTGACATTTTGTTTTGGCTGTGCTTTTAAGCCACTTGCAGCATTACAACAGGATTATAATGGTACATTACAACAGCACAGAAGCAAACTTTGTACATGTGTATCGAACAGTCCTGGTGAGAACATATTTATATATATATATATATAACGATGCCAGCTCAGACACAAGAGCTTGACTCAGATGTCTGTGGTCTTTCTTTGACCTGTGATGACCTGCTGTGGGTTTAAATCAACTCAAAATCAGATCAGTACCAGAAAGAAGACGCGTGCAATGCTGTTTGATGAACTAAGTTTGAATTTTTTTCCCATCTTGTGTTAAGTTTATGGTTGGTTCAGTTTCTGATACATGTATTTAAAATCCAAATGTGCTCAGTCCAACTGCTGTGTAAGATCATGCTGGTTGTTTGGCATAGTCTCAAGAGATGACTGTGATTGCCACCATAGATAAGTCCATTATTTATTTGTTTTTGCTGTGTATACAGTGTAGTAGTCAGTAACGATGGGTTTGGTCCGTGTGACCGGCATGCCTCTGCATATCGAATCATACATTGTCAGTGAACTATCTGTTACTGTGTATTATGTGTGATTGTAATGTCATGCCATGGGTCAGATTTAGTTCCTGTTACTGTGTGTGCAGCTGTAAATTTGTGCAGTGTATCGTGTATTTTCCTTGATAGTATAGCCAGCCAGTCTCATCAGCTCTCTTACCAAAATCTGTAATGACAAGATTTGCCAGTATTAGAATAGGAAAAGGTTTGGGGGTGTGGGGGGGGAGGGGGGGTCTATTTTAGGCTGAGGATTTTCTGGCTTTTGCAAACAATTTTTATAAGCCACAACTTTGTCTATTGTAGGGTACAAGTCTTTAATGTAATAATGGATTCTTCCGTCTGGGAACATGGACATGTCCAAATTTTTTTTTTTTCCCCCATGGGCATTTGGGTTTCCTCAAGTGTAGATACTTTACTGAAATTACTTATGTGGAAACGGATGTTATAATTCCACTCTTGCAGCAATGACTTAAAGCTTTAACTGAGGTGGCTGCAGTTTTTCAGTACCTTCCTGTTGGTGTAAGGTTACTGGACACGTGGACATTCTCGCACTGCTTCTACTTGTCTCCCTGTCAACGTCTCTTCCTGTCGCTGTCATAACCACAGTTGACATCATTCACTTTTTCTTGGGTGAAACGCCAGATCCTCAGTGCATAGCATAGATTTCTGGGGCACATTCTCTTTTGTTGAATACGAGAGGAGTTTTTTTTGTGTGTCTCTGTGCGCTGTGACTGTCTATGTCTGAGAGAGTGATGTCTATCTACACTGTGACTGTCTTAAAGATTTGTATTATCACTTTACATTGTGACTGTGTGTCTTAGAGAGTGTTATCTCTCTACACAGAGACTGTGTGTGAGTGTGTCTTAGAGAGTTCTGTTCTGTCTACACTGTGACTATGTGTCTTAGAGATTGATGTCCTCTACAATGACTGCTTGTATTTTCTTTGAGATTGATGTCTCTATGCACTTGTCCAGACTGGCTTCTAAAGTCCTCAACAATGACAGGTGCAAACATTTGATATGTGCACTGTGTAGTGTTGTTGACACTGGCTTTGCGTTGTTGACATGGGCGCTGTGTTGTTTCTTGTTCTCTTCTCTTTTATTTTTTAATTATTATTTTTTTGCTGACTTGTTGCAATATTCGACTTAACTCTTGTTTTGTCTTTTTTCCACCTCCATTTAAAGAAAAAAATATATTTTTAGCCTCAATGGCCCCATGTGATTCTTTTAGCTGTAGGCTCATTTCAGTGAAATGAAGTACCAAAGACTGGAAAAATCTTTGATTTAAATAATTGACCTCAGGAAAGCTACATAAATATGTATGTTGGTGGAACATGCACAGTGTCTGCCCTTTACTTCTCTAAGCTGCAGTGTTTCAATTGGTTGTTGTTGTCTCCACTGACCATTTTATCATTTTGCTTTATGAAATGTCTCCCCACGCTGGGTGTAGTGCGGGTGAGGAGCAGTTGGGGGATTCTTTGAAAGCCAGTGGTGTTGTGTGAGACCTTACATTTGTTGTTGTTGGGGCTTATTAATCTTTGCTGCTGGGAAATTTTGATTTTTTGCATGTATGCTTCAGAGTTCCAAGCGTACAGGAGGTCTTTTGTTTAGGAAAAAGGCAGAAATAGCTTGATTAAGCTTGATTACTGATCCCACAGTAATGTATTTTTTTTGCAATTTCAGCAAAAAGTATTCTAGCTTAGCAGTAAAAGAAAGTGACCCAGTGAAATGCCAAGGGGACATGTAGTTTGTATGTTCTTTCCTGTCCCGGTTCACGAATACGGAGTGGAGATTGTCAAGATCAAGTCTCAAAAATATATCTATAGTAGTAGAACGTTAGTCAAAAGCATTTTACCAGTTGAAGGCATTTGTAGTCATAGCAGAGCAAGATTCTCTGATGGAGGCCAGTAAGCTGACTGCTAGTAATGTAATACCCAGAGCCCATTGGCACGATCGGTTTGGTTTGGTTCGCTAGCCAGATTGAGGGCGCAATGCGGCTATTGTAGTACAGACTGATCGCCTGACTCGCCACCTTAAAAAAAACTTGTTTGTTTTCAGGCGACGAGTCGGGTGATCGGTTTGTCAATTCCCCAATGGACACTCCGTATTATTAAGCTTGTCAAATATCCCCGCCGGTTTTTGCCTCAGATTTTGTTGTGTCAAAATTATAGATGACATGTTTTTTTAAAATTTACTAAATAAGTATTGCATGCAGGTTTTGATGTTTAGCGTATTTCTTCTTGCCAAGCGTAAAAGCATCTGTCTGTTCCTGCAAAGCCTGTGTCCCTGCTGTATCACCTCACCACAATATGCCTTTGTAGCCCTGTATGCCTTTATCTGACATGTTTGGAGCATTTTGTTGTCTTATGAAAATCATTCTAGACTACCGGACATAATCACATTTACGTTGTTGTTTTATCTATTTTCTTACATTTTGTTATTTTACACTCAAATACGATTGTGTTCAATTTGATGCCCGTTTTTGCTCTCTTATTATGGGTAAGAAAAAGTTACGTTCTTTTCTCCCACCTTCTGAGTTTTGTCTTGTGTTTTGCTGCACTGCCCTGTGGTTAGTTGGACAAAAGTTTGTAGATGAAGACTGTGTGTAGGTAGGACTGGTGGGAGTGTGTGGGGGTGTTATTTATTGGAATGATGACAGGTGGTGAGGTAGGTGGAAACATCTGTGTGCTTCCAGTCAGTTTAGGTGATGGGTGTTCAATAAGTCTTTAGCCTGGGTATGAAGTGATCTCTCGTGATTGACGTTTTGTATTCCAGTCCCCTGGTGGTTGATGTGCTCCGTGCTCTTGTTGTACTGCTCATGTAGGGTTTTCCACACAAATACAATGTATGTAGCAGGTATAGTCTTTCGTTATCGGTACTGATGTAATCGAATCAGAATACCCAAGTTTTCAGGGACGAAACTTAGAGTAGTTTTTTGTTTTACATTTGAATCTGAAAGTTATAGTTATAATTCAGACCAAATGTGAATGGATTCTGCCCACAGCAATGTCTTGCAGCAGGTAGAAGCATTTTTAATTTGTGTTGTGACTGGGTCAGTATTTCATGTTGTGGAAATTTGCCATGTAAGCACAGCTTGATTGTTTGAGAAAGCGAGTAAAACGGGCAGGCATTTGCCCACATTTCCCACCCGTTGTCGTGGGGTAGTAATAGAGGGCGTTTTGTGTATACATGTACTGTGCTGACGTTTGTCATCTCCAAAGCTCATGAACATAATCATTTTGTTATTTTGATGCTTTTGATTTATATTGACTATTCTATTAAATGTATTGTGAAGTACAAATAAACTACTTCATTGTTGATGAAAATTGCTCTTGTTCATTTTATGCTTTTGTAACTTTTTTTTTCCCGTTGGTTAAGAAATCAGGCCAAAGAGGCCCTAGAGTCCTATCAGCTTTCCGAAGAAATTACTGGTTGAAGTACATGGATGGTGTCAGGCACAGTTACTGGTAGTTGTGGTAGATGTGTCAGTGGTGTCGGGTGCAATGCAAGGAAATTGTTTTCATTTCAATATGCTGTCGGTTAGCACCTTGATGTTCTTCACTTCTGTCTGGTGTCTGTTATATTGCTGGCTGGTCCTTGACTGAGAATAGCATAGCCAGCGATAGGTCATACTTCTCTTGCCTTGGTCTTTCATTTTCCCTGCTCCAAAATACTGTTGGTGGGTGCTCTGGTGTTGTTTGCTCCTTCTTTCCTATCACACATCTATCGTCTTTATCTCCCCTCCTTTTTTGTGTTTGCTACTCTCTTGTAACACCTCTAATCTTCTGGCGCTCCTATGACCTTATGCAGTTGCGAGCGCCTTTAAAACCTCTACTAAAACTAAAATACTGTTATTAGTACGCCTATGATCCCAAATATAATGAGAAGTACATTGTGAACAATGGTGAACCTAAAGACGTTGAGTTGTAGTTTACAGCCAGTCAGCACCGTAATGACCACACTTCTGATTTTTCATTGAGTTTTTTTAAAGCAAGCACCAGCAGTCCAAAGTTATTTTTACTTCCATTATGCACAAAATTAATAATCAATCTAAACGCTGCTCCTTCTTCCTTCTTTCCTATCAAACACCTATCGTCTTTACCTCCCCTCCCTTTTTTATTTCGTTACTTCCTTGTAACACCTAATCTTCTGGCGCTCATAAGACCTTATGCAGTAGCGAGCGACGTAAAACCTCTACTAAAACAAAAAATCACTCTGAACACAAGGAGACTGCTAAGTCAACAGTCTGTTGAACAAATGAGCAGCCATTGCTGGTGGAGAATGTAACTTGTGAGTTTGTTTTATTGTTTTTGTAAGGTTTTACGGCGCCCACAACTGCTTACCTCTCAAGCCTCAACACCACAAAGTCTCCTTCGACTATCAAGGCACCCCAAAATAGCAGGTCACAAAAGAGTGACAAACATACAAAAGAAGTAGAGGGAAAATGACGATAGTAAGGATAAGGAAAGAAAAATCAACAATACCCCCTATGTTGTTCCGGCACAGTATGGGCATGACATTGATAAATCAGCCCATTTACAATTCCACTGTGCATAAGAACATGCTAAAATCCCCCCTTTGGGAACTTGTGAGTTGGAAAGAGTACAGCACTTCCACGAGCAGGGACATGCAGCAGAACTTTGTGAGGACAACCAGACTGATGGAATTCCTGTTGTCTCAGAGGAAGAGGAAGAGGAGCAGGAAAAAAGAAAAGAACATTCAGTGTAGAATTTCATTCAGTCAGCAAACTCAAGAGCAGATTAAAAGAATAGAGGAGGAGAAAGAAAAAAAGAAAAATTCCTGACATAATTTCATTTTTTGAACAAGATAACAATAACTTGGACAAGAAACACTGGTTCAACGGATTTATTCAACAGTATACATGGCAGTCTGATTAACTTGACCACCAACATGACAAAAAAATTATCTTAGTGAATTTCTGATTATCAATCTTATTCAACCACTCCTAACTGAGCATTTCACTTTCAAACTCTCATTCTCATCCTTCGCCGGAACTCTAAAACCTTGTTAAAAAGGCAACGGAATAAGGACACACATAGGATACCCTATCCTCTTTCTTTCTAAACAAATTCTTGAAAAAATTCCTAACCAGAATGTTATACTTCAAATATAAGGAGACTAGATCCTGTGAAAGATACCCAAGCACTGACTACAACAGTCACTCACCGGGTGAACACATCACTTACACTTACTACACTGTAACTGTAACAAAATATCAGAGTTAGAAAGTGAAAGTGAGCCTTGGCTCTAACAAGAGAATATGCATACATGAAACATAAGGACTATTTATACTGTACATAATTAACATCCAAAATTTTTCTAAAAGAAGGCAATGAAATCAGTGTAAAGTCAAGTTGACAAGAAAAAATGCACTGGTATAGGTTTGATGCCCCAATAAAACTGTCAGGTTATTTAAGAGGTGGGGATTCTGAGTTTAACGTCCCATCTCCAAAAGAACCTAGCCAAATACTAATAGTAATAAGAAATTTGTGTAAAGTGCCCTTCCCAAGGACACAATATCGGACCTAACTGTGGCTCGAACCTCCAAACCCGCAATCTCCCAATTACAGATTAGGCTACTGACGTCACCAAGTTCACAGGAGAAGGCTTTCATTCTTCTTAGTGGTCATCGTATAGGTTTGACACCCCTTTCAACGCTAAGGTTCGGTGGAGGCAAAGCCGCTTTTAGAAATATTGCAAGTAAAAAAATGAGCTGGGAAACTCAAATCAAATGCATGATTTTTTAAATCCCCATGGTAAACAACCATTCAAATAATGTTTCACAAGTTAAAAAAACATGGCCTCAAAAAGAACACCGAGATGTATACCAAGAAAACTGTAAGAAAGATAACAAAATTAACGTGGGTTAAATGACTGTGTGGAACAAGCAAATTCTGAGTCTGCTCGCAATCACAGATTATTTTGATGAGAATATCTAGTGTTAAAAAAAGACAGTGTCAAATGACGGTAATTTATCTGAGTATGAGGATTCCCCTGGACCCTCCTTGTCGTGCCTGGATTTATGGATCTATTTTCATCTATTTTTTTTTGCATTGATTATGATTTTTTAGCATTGATAACGAAATTTTCATTTTCTCGAGGCACCTCCTCTTAGATGTGTCATTTCTCCCTTAAGTTAAATAATGACCGATTTCCTTGGTATCATGACACACCAAATCATGGAAATGGCTAAGGCACCCAAAGTGGCAGAGTTTTTGGTAATGGACCATATAGTAAAATTGCAAGGGAGGGAAAACGGTCATCTGTACTGGTGATTGTTAGGCAGGTGGTCCTTAGTGTGGGTTCAACTGTACAGCTGAACCTGCTCTAATGGCCACCTAGATGTACAAGACAATCACTTGTGCAAGTGGTCACTTCCTATCTCCCCCCCCCCTTGAGCGTTTTTTCCATTATACTGACACTGTGTAAGACGTCCACCATCTAAGACGGTCACTTTTCTCCCAGGCGATGGGTGGCCATCTTAGACAAGTTTCACAGTATAAAATTTGTATAAATTTTATACATGAGCACCAGATACGGCGTGACATCGACTGCTCCGTGTAAGACTCCGTCATATGTCACTTTTTTAAACAAGGTACATCAGAGCCTTAAACACCGAACTGTCGCTATGGAATTGGAAGTATAAAAGCAGCAAAAACATCTGTATGTGTTCCACATTCAGACAGACAAAAATACACTGATGATATCTTATTGCAGAGAATACCATTTCACTTAGACACCGGATGAGAATAACAGAGGAACTCTCCAACAGAGGCCTCTAAATACCGTTATTTTGAAATAACACAGACAGACAGTTATCAAAACCGGATTTATCACAGGAAAACAAGATAACACTAGTGAAATTTACTTTTCAATCAATAAAGAGAATATTTTGATTTTTTGAGGGTGATTGGATCAGTATTTTCAATAGTTCGTGTTTTTATGACACGCATTTCTTGGCTTTGAGACAAATTTTGAATAGTCTTTCAAAATTTTGAACTGATAAGTGGTGTCAACCCTCCTTTTTTTCCAGGAGGCTTTTGCTCTGCAAGCTAACTTCCGTGAATCTAAGTTTGCTCATTGACATATTCAACGAATAGAAGATACTTCACTGATCTCAATCAGTTTTTCCCCTAAAAAAATGGGATTCCTTCAGTGGCTGCAAATTTCACTGTCAGCTGATCTTCTCAGCCGTCAACAGTTTATAAAATGAACACGAGGCTTTCACCACACTTTTTTTAGTAACTATGGCTCAAAATCTACATAAAGCAACTCAGTATCAAAGAGGCACACTCAGACGCAGTTGAGGGCACATTGTCTTGATAACAGCCATACAATGTAAAATCATTCTACATGTGTTAATCTTGCTGATTGTCCTCAAAAACAAAATGTAAACATTGCATGCAAAAGAAATGACCTCGAACAGCAAAAAAAAAAAGTCCCCAAAATAAACAACACATGTCAAATCTAAAGCTATCAGCATTTTGAAAATTCCAAAAAGTACTTTAAAACTGGTGCTCCTAGAGTATGCAAAAAAGCCTACACCAATTAATGGCTTTAACTTTCTATACTGTGAGTTATAAATAATTCACATACATATAACTTCACTGCTTAATATAGTCATAAAGAAGCGCTACTGTAAATTGCAAACTATGTCATTTTGTACATATTCAATTGTACAAAATCTTTAGCTCAGTAACATAAATTTTTTATGCAGTGCAAAAAGTCAGCAAATTCAGCCAAACAGTTAGTGACATATTGCTGTTCAAGGTTGGGCACGTATTTATGAATAGACTCTAGATAAATAATCATAGGCCTCTGGGGTAGCTTGTTATTCAGTGCATTTGATAACATCAGATCTCAGTTTGTAGCAATCAACAGAACTAGGTAAAATTACATTCGACTCTCAGATGCCAACCTCCAAATCTTGTCATCTTCTGAGACTGAAACAAAAAAACCCAACAAATCAAAGTCAACTCAGGTAAGATACAAATAGATTCGGGGAAAACAGTCAGTAAGCGAAACAATAAATAAGGTTGTCAGTAAGTAAAAACTATAAGTAAATTTATCAGGAAGTAAAACTAAAAGTATGTTTATCAGTAAGTAAAACTATTAATAAGTTTGTCAGTAAGTAAAAACTATAAGTAAATTAATCAGTAAGTAAAACTTTTAATGAGTTTATCAGTTGTTATGGTTGTTGTTATCGATCCAGCAACAGCGGGGCTCTCGCCCTTCTGTCCAATGCCATGTAGTGATAAGTGCAGGTCTGCTGCAGTTGCTGTAATGTTCCATAGAGTGTGTTGTCTATGTTAGGTCTCGGAGGGAGAAGGGTAGAGTTTATCAGTAAGTAAAACTATTAAAAAAAAAACCCCATTAATGTCAAGACTATCAGCAAAATAAAGTATAAGTAAGTTTATCAGCTGGCACATACATTTACATCAAAACTGAAGCAGAGCTCTGAACAGTTATAGCACTAGGCTGAGAAAAGTGATTGTCAGGAGACTTTCCTCTGCGAAATTATAATCATAACTTTTCAAAATTAAAGTAAGTCTTTGGTTTCTAAAATCATCACCACAGTTTGATACCACCACCGACAGGACCATCTCTTGTGTCAACCTCAAATATTCACCCGAGTAAACACACAACCAAACAAATAACAATGTGTAAGTAAGAGCGATCTATCCTCCGCTGATGTGTCAGAAAATATCTAACAATCAAAAGACTAAAGCAAATTTAATTTAAAGCAGAATTTTCTCAACTTTCCTGGCCATACCCAGAACGCTCACTATATACGTAATATGATCCTCTTGACCAGAACGATTCCATCATTTCTCCTTTCTATTCTACCTACCACTAATCTAGAGAATTTACTTAATCCATTCCAATAATAATAAATAGCACTTGAATAGCGCATACTCCCACTCAACAGCAAGCTCTATGCACTTTACTGTGACTTTACGCTATATTATTTTTCCAAAAACGAACTCTCAACCCAGCCCCCCAAAAATGAGCATGACAACGACTGTGAGGACCAGAGATACAAAATGGAAACAAGTTGAGCAAACAGGACCACCACATATCTGCTCAAGGTGCGACACCATTTACTGAAGAGCCGCACAAAGATTTATATCGTCGCAGTCGAAAGCCCCCTGCTTTAGTCCCCATTTTGAGAATTTTTAATTTTTACTCTCCCAACTCCCAGAGTTCAATCAAAGATGCACCTTTCATCATCACCAAATGCAGTATAATGCCATGGTCAAGGTTTACAATTTTCTAGCTTTTCATGATTCCTGATAGGAACAACACAACAAAAACTAGTTTTTTGTCTGTGGTGTTAAAAGTACCCAGATGGACTTAAGTGGATTGTTTGTCACACCGACGACGATATTCACGTGACAGCTGATGTGGTATTAACTTTTAGAGCGCCATCTCTGCATGAGCGTAGGAAGAAATATTTACTTTCAGTGCATCGATCTCTGCTTTCATTCCTCCATTTTCTTTATACTTACCCCTGAGCAAAAAGCTCTGTTCTCAAAATAACCTTTCAATTTTATGTCATTCAATTGAAATGAAGCAAGCCTCAATAATATAGAACTTAAGAAAAATAATCTTTTGTTGAAAGAAAAAAGATAAAGAAATGGCGGACAATAAGAGTCAGTTATTGAGAGAAATAACAGAGCACGGACATCAGAGTTTGTAAAAAAATAGTAAAGCCTGACTGTCAAAGAGAGTGAGAAATGGCGGAGCATAATGGTCAGTATTTGTGTCACGACCGGCTCCCAAAACAGAACTCACCCGTCACATTTTCCTTCTGTAACTTCTTTAGGTGAAGAGTGACGTTGTTGGCCGCCATCAGGTGTACATTTTCTGGAACGCCCTGAGAGACAGACACAGAAGGAAAAATGCAACAATACACTATAATGAAATTCAAGTTAATTAATTCATCTATTTATGTATTTACATTTTTTCTTGGGGAGCAGAGGTTTTCAGCATAGCAATGTGCAGTGCTTGCGTCTTATAGCAAAGTGCCTCATTCTTATACATCATGGATTACTGATATATCTGGGCAACCCAAAATCCAGAAGGAGCAAGACTCATTTTTAGCTGAGGCAGGTGAACTATGGTGAGGAACACTAAACTAGGAGAAAAAAAAAGAAGCCATATATATCAAAGAGCCATTGCTAAAAGGTGAGGGGTCTCATACCGGTCAAGGAGGCTAGAAATAAACGTAGATCCATTTTCATGAATCTCTGTTCATGTACGCACACCTAATCTATCATAGGCATATATATTTATCAAACGCCAGAGCAAGTAGTCAAACAGTTTCAGAGGTACGATGGAATCTGTTGTTGAAATGTATTCTAACTCATTTATATATATATATATATATATATATATAACAGGTAAGACAAATAAGAATAGCATGGTAAAACCTAAGTTTTGTAGCCAGATCCAGCTGCATACACAGTAACAAACATTCAGAACCAGAAAAGGAAAATAAAAATAAAATGATATTTTGTATTTTTTTAAACTCGAGATGTGTTATCGTAGTTATGTACAAGATAAGACGCATCAAATATTGTCGTAAGTTTATAGTTCCTTTAAAGAATAAGATATTATTTTGTCTTGTACAAACGAATGATGAAAGAGAAAAAAATTAGCCTCATGGCATTTACCTCGAAAGTATTTCATGGGTTTTAAAAATCAGACTTTAAGACGAGATAAACAAGTGTTATCTCTTCGGCTTGTCAAAGTTGAATGGTTTCATAAAAATATAAGAAACATAGGCTAAATATCTTATTCTAAAGCTCAAAGAAATCTCTACATTCGACAAATTTGGACAATGGAAGGCTAATGACACTTAAATTACGTAATAATGCACAATACATGTATATAATATATTCAATTGCATATCAATTTTTCATTTATGGTTTTGTGTAATGTGCAGCTAGCCTGTGTCATATTAATGTGCAGTTATATTTTTCTGTAAATAGGACTACTAATGATGCATCTGAAGTTATATGTACATTACTGTCAGCTTTACTTTTCTTTTCATACAGAATTTTAATGAGAGTAATATATAAGTTAAATTTACGTATACCTGTATGTGTCTTTACGGCCCTGTACAGCCAAGGAAAATTTCCCTCTGGGACAATTACGTCTTATCTTATATTATCTCATCTCATCTCATCTTATCTTAAGTGAGCAATATGTTTACCTTGTACACCACTTTGACAATATCCATCGCTGTTGACGGTTTCCCTCTGTTGTCCTTCAAATACTGAACAATCTGCTGCTCTCTGTCGTGCCGATGCTTGATGTAGTATGCCAGAACTTCTTTTGGCTTAGCCACCACAGGGCCATGACCGGGGTAGATGACCTTAGGGTCAAGGTCCAGGAGCTGATGGAGAGTCTTCATGTACTCCTGGAGGTCCTCAATCACCTGCCAAAAAACAAGTTGAGATAACGTTTTATGTACATAAAGAAACCGATATGTTGAGATAGCAGTATTACTGCAGCTTACAAACAAACAGATACCTTGAGATTGCAGTGTTTAATCACCATACAAACACAGTGTTAAATAACAAGCAAGACAAATGAACAAGCTTTAAGATTATACCAATAACTCCATATGCACAAAAATTGATGAGTTTCTGATTTCACCCTGTCGCGACACAATTATATTTTAAGAATGTGTGTGAGTGTATGTGTGTGTGTATGCGCGTTTATGTGTGTGCGCGTTTGTGTGTGTGTGTGTGAGAGTGAGTGTGTGTGTGTGTGTTTGGATGTGTGTTTGGATGTGCGTTTGGGTGAGCATATGTGAAGGTGAACAATGTTGACAAAACATTTATAGACTGTTGTTCAAGGCACCGGTCAATCAGTATTGAATGTGGATTTGAGCACAGGGTGACTGCTGAACTGACCTCAAAATCAACAGCCTGTACAAATAAAGACTGTAGGTGAGGCATCGTGGTGGAATCAGGCACTCACCAAAGCTATGAAACCAAAGAAACCCGTATTTTTCCACTTGTTGATGAATTTTAATTTTTGGCTCAACACCTTTTATATTTAAAAACACACACTTCCGTGTAGATTTTACAGATAAACGTCATTCAAAGGCACCAAAAAAAAGTAAAGTTTGCTGTTCCCAAGGATACCCAAGCTAAGGAAAACAGTAAACTTCGGCCTCCGTTTTTAATTAACCGCTCAGCCACCGCACCCTGCACAGTGGACCTACTCACAACAGTAACATGAACAAAGTGTCGACTTACAGCGGTAGATCCTCCGAGGATTGTGTCCCCTGAAAAAACAGCCTCCTCTTCCTCCAGCTTAAGTACGATGTGATCTTCCGAGTGGCCCGGGCCATGATGAACTCTGCATGAGGAAAAAATCTAATGTTGGTTCAGACCTTCTAACCCCCCATATGAGGCATACAGCGGTTTATCACAAAAGCTGAAAAGAGCAGACTTTTCATCTAGGGAAGGATAAGAAAATTTAGCCACTACCCTGATTCCAATCCTGAAATTCCCTGTTTGTCTGTTAAGTCTATGAAGCAAGTGTACTGCAAAACATCAAACTAAGAAAATAAAAACTCAGTAAGGGAGAAATACAGTTGTCTCCGCCTAAGATCCCGGTGCTCAGGAGCAAGGAAAATATGGGATCTTAGGTGAACCGGGAACTTAGTCGAATGGCCAGGGGGAAGAATCCACCGTAACTCATGGTCAGGCCCTAAGTCTGTACAATGATCTCCCCTTACTTTAAAATGAACTGACATGACTCCTGGGCACTAAAAGTTCTTTTAAGAAGTCAGCTTTTCTTTTTTTGTGTTAGTGTGTTTGGGGAAGGGGGGTGGACCTTTCTAAAAAATAGAGACAGTAAATTAACTCTTTGACGACGGACATTTAGGTCATCCAAACGCTTAAAGACCTGCACTTTTTTTTTGGGGGGGGGGGGGGCTTTAAAAAAAAATACTGTTTTTCCAAAGCAGCGGGATCTTATGCGAACCGGGACCATAAGCAGTGGGATCTTAGAGGTGGAGACTACAGTATATCAAATAAAATTAAAAGAAAGGGCAGAAGTAGGGTGTTAAAGTAATACCTTCCAATTAATGGACACTGCAATGCCCTTGTAACTTGTAGTGATATTACTACTGATGAGAATTTTAGGTTCAAAACTGGAAAATATGATAAACATACTGTCGTGTTGTCTAACTAACAAGACAATACCCAATGTCCGGAGTGGATGCAGAAACAGCTTTACTTACTGTAGTGTAGCTCCTTCTGTCTTGAAGACTTGCTTGTCTGAGATGAAGGTATACGATGTCTCCGAAAGCTTCATGTCTGCCATTGACAGACGCTTCAGCTTTGATGTCCTGAACTCTGAGAATAGAAAAATTAGTAACGGTAAAGTATATAAAAATTTTAATCCTGTAAGATCGTTTCTTGTCCCTTTTTTTAAGATGTCAAAAAAGTCTTCAATCAACCTGCTATTAAATTAAACAACAACAAAAACTATGATACCAACTGTGGGCAGTGTATACAATTGATGTCCATAATAACATTATCAATTAACTCTTTAGACACAGAATTTAGTGCACATTTTCCTGAATTTTTAGGATGGTTAGTTTTTCAGTCTGACACAGAGTTTATATAACCCAGAGTTCCAGGCCCTGGATGTACAGGAACATCGTCATGTCATACACCGAATCAAACAAAATTGCATACAGAAGTGGAGATAATAGGAATCATGAATATATATACATCCTGTCTTTGTTGAATAAAACTTATTATACACAGACGATGCAAATAAAATGTGAATTGAATCTAATTCTGTAAATATCTATGTACACGTATTTATCAGAGCTGAACAGTCCTAGATCTATATCACATTACCATCAGAAACTACTCTAGCTCTTAAAACGATTCAACTGCACTCTCTGTTATAATCTTCCGATGCTTCAACATCTGATGTGATCAAGACGCCATTGCCCTAAAACAGCAGCAGTCAACTCAAACTTTTAAAAAATTATCTTTTTGATAATAAAAAAATCGTCTTAAGATAACATAAGCCAATCTAGATCTATGTCATAAGCTAACACCAAACCCAATGTGAACATACTTCAATCAAATTATGCAAGACAAAGGTATGATTAAATGATAAAAAAAATAATGGGAATGACAGCATTCATCTATGGCTTTGGGATTTTCCTACAAATGCTGTGTTTAAGGACTAGAAATTAAACAACACCAACAAAATAATAACCATAAAGAAAGCTTTAACAATAAAAATTATAGCTTATCATCCCCAAGAAAGAACTTGATATCAGTGCCTTATAAAAGCAAAGAAAAATTACTTGATAATTTAAATCCAAAATAGCAGACTCAAACTAGGTCAAATACAACAGATGCTACTACATGATATGCTGATTTCAATTTTAAAAAAAGTTTTAGTAAGAGTTTTACTGCACTTGCAACACAATAAGGACATATAAGGGCCGAAGAATAGATTATGTGTTACAAGAGAGTAACATACACAAAAAAGGAGTGGAGAGAAGGACGACAGATGTTTGATAGGAAAGAAGGAGCAAACGACACCAGAACACCTGCCAACCACCCACGCTGATTTCTATATGAGAGCCTTCTTTCGAATTTGATAGTTCAGTAAATAAAGTTTAAGAGGTTCATGCCCTGTACAAAGCAACATTCCGAAAACAACTATTCTCACTTTGTCCAAATAAGCGGCAGATTCCATCAACCCCTCCGACATGGTCGTGGTGCCAGTGGGTGAGGATGATCTCTTGCAGTTCAACATTCTGTTGTTCCAGTGATGACTTCACCAAATCTAGGTATTCCTTGTTGTCAACTTCTCCAGTATCTACAAGAATTCTCCTACAAAATAGAACATTGTAAAACTTCTCAGGTAGATACATAATTATAAAAGTACTATTTCCATTCACCAGAGAACCCCCCCC